TTTTGAAAAGTGCGCGCAAATCGTGCTTTTCAATGGCAAAGTTATTCATTTTTTATGACTAGCCAGGATGAGGTAATTACAATTACTGTTTTAATTAAAAGTATATTTATTTTTTTCAATACTCTCGAAGCTGGGAAATTGGTCTGACCGTAATCAGAATTTAAATTGCGTAAGCTACAATCTGCAAATAATTTACGAGAATACCTATTCCAGCCATTGTTCCGTTTCATTAATATTAATACAACATTTTACAGGCCATTGACTACTTATTTAATTGTAATTTGCGCAATTCCGCATTCACCGAACAGCACACTGATGCGGCTTAATAAATGCAATATTTAATCGCGATGCTGAAATTAACAGTTCGAGGCTCCTGGACAAATTTCAATTTAGCGGCGAGCATATGAAACATAAATAAATTATCGTGGCCACGTCCTCGCCTATTTCATTAAGTTGTATTATAAGTGAATGCAAACAATTATGAACTTATGAGATAATTAACTGCAAAAACAAAGTCATTTGCATAAGTAAGTCAATAAGCGTCGAGTAATTATAAATTATAACGGATTTCGCTTTGTTTATCTTATGTAATCAGCTTTACGTGCTTAAATAATTAACATTGAATATGTTTTAATTAATTATGTGTGCGAACTAACGGAAAACTATTTGATGGGCAAGTTAATGAAATCGAGTGGGCTTAATCGGCAAACAAGGGCTTTCAAGTATTAAAACATAATGTAAATATAAACATTTTTGGTAGGCTTCATACGCTGCATAATATTGGTAAAGCTAAGTACGTGCTACAAAAATTTTGCTGTATCCCAATAAGGTTTTTAGGACACCAAGAGGGAGGAACCTAATAATCCCTTAAACACCATCGAGAGTTCGTTAACAGAAGCGATATGGGTGCTCATCTATATGAATCTCATGAGCGAACTGTCGTGGAAGGGTGTCCAAAGACCCCGTCTACATGCCTCGGGAACTACCCCCCACCCATCCCATTCTCATCTCCACCTCCGATCCGATGGCACAGACTGTATTAATGCGCTTCATATGTCAGCTGGGGCCATTCATCATCATTATGCTGATGCCAACTGGATGGCTGGCTGCTTGGATGCTCGTTTGGGCCAAACAAGCCAACATACCAAAACATACCCGTAGTTTATGAGAGGAGCTCATCAGAGCAGCCAGAGAAATGAGTTTGATACAAGCCTGTTTGCTGGGAAAGAAAAAGTTTAAATAACTTTTACCCGGTTTCATGTCACAGCATTTAAAATGTACAAACGTTTGCCTCTGTCTGGCGGAGTGTGTATGTAAATTGTTGCCTGGGAAAGGGGCAGGAGAAAGTCTGGCCTGTGCTGGAAAAAAAGGAAAAAAAAAACCAAAAACCCAACTTACTGCCTGTTGTTATGTGAATGCTCTTGTTGTTGGCCTTGTTATCAAAACGTTCTCGCTTAAACTTTATTAGTTTGACATGTGTGCTTTTAGCATTTTAGGCACGTTTGATGAAACGTAATCAAACAAGCCGCAGAACATTTTTGTCCTCTGTGGATTGTGTACCTCTTAGTGGTAGAGTTTAGGGGTATATCACATAAAAATATTATTTAGTTCGGAAACGCAGTCAATCTCAGAGTTTATGATGGCTATAAAAGGGCGTCTTTATTTGATAAGTAATTATCTATGATTACCAAAAATTAGTAGAATATAGGGTATTTCTCGTAATGCAATTACCTTAAGCTTATATATATATATATTATTTTTTATATTTTATTATATATTATATTATATTTTAAAAATAGTTCTTCATTTTTTTTAGTTATATAGATAAGTTTAGCAATCGACTCAAAGTATTTTTGTATTCTTAATAACAGATTTTAATGGCGTATTGTATATAAGCCCTCGATCTTATAATTTATGTCAGATTTAAAAACATTTTTTTTTTCTTATAAAGTGTTTTTACTGTACAGATTTGATAAGTAATTATCTGTGTCTTACCAAAAATTATCTGAAAGTATTGTACTACTACTACTATTGAACATGTACCTTAATAACAAATACTTATAAAAATTATTTGAAATTTTATTTGACATTTTATATTGGGTATCTTAAGGTTGAAGCAACCGACAACATATTTTTTCTATATTTTTTCTATCAACCTAGCCAGACTTTCGCATATTTAGAGGAATTTAAAAAGTAAAGAGCAATCTCCGGCCCCTTAAGAGCACTTGTGCTAATACTTGTCGCAAGTTACAACTTGTAAGTAAATGTAGCTTTACTAGAGCGCAGACTGATGCAAAACTTTGCTCGGCGACATGTGAATCCTTTGTGTCCCTGTTCCTATCCCAGAACCAGTCCCCAAACTCCGATCCCGATGCCGATCCTGATGCCATGGCAATAGTTAAGGCTTAGCCACTTCGCAGTGTGTCGTCGTTGCTCGCTGAACATTTTAATCGGCAGGAAATGATGTGAAAAACTTTTTAATCCCTTTAAATGCCAACTTTTCAATGCGAGTTGGAGTGCAGAACGTTAAAGCGATGCCAACAGGGCCGGAAAAGGGCTTAAAGCCAGCAAAAGTCGTGAAACTTAATTATCCACCCCAGCCAACACCCACAGCCACTCAGGTGTGAGGCCGGAGTTAATTTAAATGCTCCTTAAAGGTGTATTTATTGGAGGCATTTGACTTTTGAGCAGAGAGATTTAGTGCTTTGCGAATCTTTGATGATAAATAAAATTTGCAGCTGCCTAAATCAGGAACTTACACACACTTACCACCCACCTGCAAACATATATGGGTATATTCCCATGTATATTCTGCCGATAAGCACCTGCATATTCATAATTCAGATAAGTGTCGCTTTTCGGCCAAAAGCAACCCCACATCCGCCCAGCGGAGCATTAGAGCAGCCCAAATTCATGCAAATTACGTTAAAGTGGAGGTGGTGCTCGAAGGCAAAACTGTGGAAGGGACTGGTACTAGTGCACCTGCAAATTGTGTGTTTCCCTGCTCGGGCATAAATGTGTGTAAAATAATATTTTTGCACATTCTACGCCTTAAAACCATAAAATTGCATAATTTATAAATTTGAATATCTCACACATAAAAGGGGGCGGGGCCAGGCCAACAAAAGGGCCCAAAAATGGTATGAATTTATATGGCATGGCTTGGTAGAGAAAAAGACCAGGGAAATCGGAGGAAAATAGGATGAAAATAGGCAAATAGGCAGAGTCAAACGTTATTGCTTCGACCGAGCATTTCAAACACAATTTGGCCAGCTGAAAAACGAGAAGAGACAGAACCATTTTTGTTTCAGGTCAGTCAGCAGAATTTGTGGTCGAGCACATGAGCAAAGTAATTTGGGTTCACAATTTAAAATGTTATAAATGCCCTCCTCCGTTTCGCCCCGGACAATAACAAGACAGGCCAATATTTATTTAAAATTGAGAATTTCCTGTGACTTATTCAAATGAAATCCCATTGACAGTTGATGCTGATTTCTTGATTACACGCCACACACTGAGACCCACAACAACGTTCTAGAGTGAAATAATAATTTCTGATTTATGGCTTACCAAAACAGTCCGCTTCAGTCCGTACTGTTTGCCAATTTAATTGATTTCTGGTCTGCAAATCAAATTTGTGGCATTTCTTTCTAATAATTTTCCAGTTCTTGCGGTTGCACTTTGGGGGCGTGGCCGGGCCAACTTTGCAACTGCTATTCGCCCTGTGAACTTCCATGTTTATTTTTATCGCACTTCCTTGACGCGTCGAGTTTCAAAGTTTTGCGAACAGACAACTGCGAGGGTTTGGTTTCCACCAGCAGCTAGTAGCTACAGTAAGTACATACCACACGTGTAAACACACATGAGTTTGATTTTTGTAAAGTGCTATATGAAAGTTTCCAGGCGGCAAGGTGGTAACCTCGACATGTTTATGAGCGTCTAAACTACAGAGTTCATGGACTGCCGCAGCTAGTAAATTGATAAAAGTTTCAGTCCTTTCCGCGTGCATAAATGATAGCCAGCAGGAAGGTCTCCAGGAATTTTCCTTATCGATGGGGTGTAATTTTTAGGTACTCAACAGCTTAATCGATTTGGGAATAGCCGTAACGAATTAAAGCCCAAACTCATTTTACAAATGGAAATCTTTAAGTGCTAGTCTCTTATCTATGGCCTGTCATTTACAGCTCCTTATGGATGTAAATAATAATTATTATTTGCTGCAAACCTTTTCCTGGTTAGACGTGACAACGGATTCGTTTCATTTAATAATGTCGACACACATTTCCGGGGGTAAATTAAACAAATACCTCGAGTGCCCGGGAACCTTAATTGTCCGACGGTCATCAACTTGTGGCTGGCTGCCAATGTCCAGATAAAATGTATGTGGCAAACTATTGTCTCGGCGTTCTGGGCACTCGTTGAGTTGCCTGACCCTCGACCCTCAACCCTCGACCCTCGAGTGCGTGCTACCGCAAGTATTTAAAATTGTTTTGGTAAGTGCTGGTTTACACCCAGTAACCCAACCCACTTTTGGCTGCCAGCGTTTGGCAGCAGGTGATAAAAGTTCAAAGTCATGTAAGCCACGTGGTCGAATGGTGGGGGTGGGGTCATAGGTCCCCTTTTCAGTGGGGGGCTGAATCTGCTTTATATTTGAATTTTCCCATCGCTCGCACGCAACTCGAGTGTCAGGACAACAAAATGGATTTCATCCTGTAGACTCGCTTCATTTTTCAACTCGTTCAACTTGGCGGCTTGTGAAGTTGAAACGTTCAAGACAAGAGCAAACAGACTGCGCTTTTCTGAACCCGGCTTCCTCTCCCCTGCCGTAGGATTAAGTCAATTGTCGGTATCCGTGTTTTTGTTTTGCACATTGAGAGAAAAAAAGATTTATCATCCATGTTAAAGAAATATTTGTATTACAATTAGGGTTGTCAAAAATCGACATATATTTAAAAGTAACTTTTTATATAGATTCTCGACATTTATACAAAAGACCAAGTTGAAATTACATTGAAGGAATTTTTCCCCAGTGTAATATTGTCAGCGAACTAAAAGCGGTTCCCTTATATGACTTCCCTTTTTCCAAGACGGTAGCACTTTCCAGATGCACTTGCAGACAATGCATATCGTGGATGAGAACCTCAGATTGGTTCGCAATGGAACGGGATGCATCCACTGACGCCTCATCTTGGTGAAATCCTTCCGTTGATAATATTGTCGCTATCACGATCGAAGATGGAGAAAATCACCTCGGTAAGATGTTCAGAGAGTTTACGCCGGTCACCACATACGAGATGTGTCGCAGTGTTTTGGGTGAGATATTCGCCCCGGTGAAGTAGTAAAAGGCCAGCTCATTATCCATTACACCCACATCCTGCACAAAGCGAAAAAAGGCCAAGAACTCCTCCAGACTTATACCACGACCCATATTTCCAAACTTTTTCTTGACCCTCTTCAGGGTTTCGCGTGTTTCGCTACGGGAAGTTCTGAAGCCCAGAACCACCTTGGTGAAGTCCAGTTCAGAGATCACAGTTCTGGGTTCACAAATCGAAATAGTTTTAAACTCTTAATCCAAGACTTCACTTACCTGGAATCCTTCAATAGGTTCTGGAACTGCTGTGTATGGATCTCAGTGTGCAACTCTTGCAGGAACTCCAGAAAGTCATTACACCCATTGTTCTACTCAATCGTGAACCAAAGAGATATTTCTTCAGGTGGGAGTTCATCACGGAGGCTTCGCCCTGGGTGATTGCCATAAGAATTGTTTCCATGTCCTCGATTGTTACATTTCCATCACCATTTGCATCGAATAGCTTAAAACTGATCCTAACGTTTCGCTCCGGAATGGACAGCAGGATGGTCAGTAGCACATAGTCACTGTAGGTCAGCAAGCCCCGCCTCTCGATCTTTAAGAAGATGCTATCTTCCCTGACATCCGGCTGCCATTTCTTGGCCGCCTTCTCATCGAGAATGTGGAACTTGTCCAGGCCCAAATGCTCTGGCTGTCTGACTCCTGGCTGAATGGATCTCAGGAAATCGGAGACAGTCATGTACAGTTCCCATTTACCAGATTTGTTTTTCATTTTTATGGTGGCAAAGTAGCGGAAAATCTTCGTGGGATGGGAGAACAGTCTGAGCCGGTTTTCATACTGCCTGATGGTGTAATCACGGAAAGAAGCTCGATGCGAACTTATAGGGCGTTTCTTCGGTACCGGAATTTTGTGTCTTAGAGCGTTATGATCAGAGGAGGCTTGCAAAACAAAGGACAGGTCCATGTCCAGTTTTCCCCATTGTTATCACCCAATAAATGCGAGATAATTCCTGAACTAGATCGGGCCGAAAGGAAAACCAGTGGCCAAAAACGCGTCATATTCGGCTATTTCAAACTATCTTAAACAGAAGAAAACCACGAGTGATGGAACTTCGAATTTAGCTATTGGTGCGGTGAAAACGATTTGGGTTTGCTCAAAATTTGGGTCAATTTTCCTCTCCTTTTTAGTTTTTTTTGCAGCCAACTCAAACTGATTGATGTTGCCAGGCCTCTTGCTGATTTTTCCGCACTCCCCCTGGACCACACACACACACCCGATGGAAAGCATTAAAAGTAATCAGCAGCGCAAATGTTTGCACTACGGAAATTCTGGTGGTGATGGTGCATGGTTCTTGGACTTTATAAGACCCCAGGGAAATTTGCGAACAATAAACTGCGCCGGGCGGGTGAAGGGGAAAAAGTTTGCTTCGATTTGTGGATTTCCTCTAATTCCTGCACTGGATTTCTATGCATTTATGGTCGGTCAGCCGGCAATTTTGCCTGCCATTGTACTGAGGTGCTCGGAATATCTGAGAAAGTTGCCCCCAACTTCTTGTTCTTGGTCGGGGTGCGACTGTGAAGCACTCTCGTTGGCAAGTTTCGTTTTCGAGTGCTCTCGTTGGTTCGCAAAACTTTCGATGGGTCTCCAAGTCCAGCATTTGGCTAATAAAAGATGGCTAGGACGTGTGAAATATGTACATTTCTAGGAAAAAAATTAATAATACAAAAATGAGCAAATGAGTCGTGTGAAATGGTTTCTAAACATTCCTATCCATATTTAAACAAAGCCTATTAGGCAACTAATTTTTGAAATTTGATAGAGCTTTTGTGTTTTCAAATATCGACTTCAGAAACACAAAAGATTTCACCATAATTACAAAATGAATCTTTTGTTAAACACATAATAATTTCGTCCTTCATTTAATTTATGGAATTATTGTAAAACAAATTTCCATTGTATTAATAAAAGTTCAAAAGCTGAATAAGTGTTTGTTTAAGTTAGCTTAACTTGCTGAACAGATGTTTGTCGACAATATAAATTATTCGTTTTATTAAATTCGCATAATGCTGCTGTAAATAGATTTCATATAATCAAAATTGTAAATCAACTTAAAATATTTTGTATAATTAAATATTAAAACGGTAACAGTCGAGTAATATAATTATAGCCATGGCTACAAAATGTCTTTGAATCTAATATTCATGTTGTTCTGGTTTGAGAGAAAAAACCGAAATGACAATATGTAGCTGATTTTGTATGGCTCCATAACAATATCGTTTCACAACCTGCATTTTTTTAAACGCTGATTGACAAACGGATTGATTTCGATGCCACGTCCCGAATGTTAATTTAGACATGGTGTTTGGCACTTGATTAAAGCATGACACTTTCGGTAGAAAAGTCCGTGCTGCTCCACTTTGCTCACGTAGGCCCACGGAAATTCCCTGGTGACGGGGGGGGATTGTGGGTGGTGTTATAAGGGAGATGGGTGAAAGGGAACGTGGCCAACCAGGTGAATAATGCACGCCGTGGCACTTAAGCCGGGCCAAAAGTTTAGGCTTCCCTTTTGTCAAATGGCTGTCAACCCGAAGCTCAATCCTTTTGTCCGTTCCGTTGGCCTTTCATTCTGGGTTCTGGCATTCGGGTATCCTGGTGTCCTGGCATTCTGGCATCCTGGCATTTGCATATTGTGTGTGTGCCCGCCTCACATAAACAACAATCAGAGCATAAACAAAGGTGGCGCCAATGCCAAAGCCAAAGCGAAAGCCAGTCGAGCATTTGGGCGCTGCCGAAAATTAAGTTAAACAAAAAACAGCCGCAGTCGCAGTGCAGTGAAAGTCAAACGGAAACGGATACGCCCCCAGGCGGAATGACAGAAATTGTCACGTTTCTGCTCTTTGAGTGTGGGTGACAAATAAGACACCCCCCACACACATACAGGTTTATTGCTTTGATTTAACATCAATTGTAAACTGCTTGCGTTTGTGATTTGTCATGTGTCACAACCTGAAAAGGAAAATGGGAAAGTGGAATACGGTGGATGGGAAATGGCATGGTGTTGCCTACTTAAATGCGCGCAAAATTAATCTACTACTTTGCGCGATGCTTCGACTATGCACAGAAAAAAATATTAGCAAATTGGAAGCAAATTGATAAAAATATTACCTATAATCGAAAATAAATTAAAATGAAAAAATTGTTGTTAATATTTTGTATCTTAACTCAAATTATCGAAACTAACATTATTGCTTGCAAAAACATGAAACATTATACTTCTTAAGAATCAATTCATAAAATTTTTTTTTCAATTTAAAATCATAAATTTAAAATCATTTAAAAATCTAAAATAATCTAAATAAATATATAAATTATTATTTGTTATATTAGGAGCCGTAAAATCCGTAAAACATTTGATTTCGTATGAAAAATTTGTGGAAAATTTTTGTATATCTTTTTTTTCAGTGCTTTATCATTCGATCTGAGTTGGGGTAATTTTTTTCCCGTGCTAAATCCCCGATGCCTTGCATATGCAAATTGCGAAACCGCTTTCCCTATTTGGCGGATTTGTCATGACCACTTGACACACACAGACTTCCCTTTCAGAACTGACAGGCGTTTGGTGAACTAATATGTGCGGCATATGCCAAATGCAGTGAGGGAAACTTTCGGTTTCACCCACTCGCTTTTATCGAACTGCTGCACAGTAACGGCTTTCCAATCGGCTGAGCGGAAAAGCCGGGAAATCGGTTGAGGAGTTGTCTTTCCTTCGGCGACTTTCATTTTCCCCCTTTTGTTGCCGCATTGCATTTCTTTCACTTGCCTGCCTCCCAAGACTTTTAATTTTATAAATTGTCTCGCATATGTGCGATTGGGAGGGCGATGGCGATGACGAGGGCGAGGGCTTTCCTTTGTCGCCGGGCTGCCATTGTCGTCAGCTTAAGATTTTGATAAGCCATTGAAAAGTGTGTCTATAAGCACTCGAGCATTCAAGTGTCGTTCGCTTTGTTTGCCTTAACTATAAATGGCTTAATAACAGATTTCACAGCGACAGTTGATGTCTTCAGCTTGCTTTCCCTGCCTTTCCTCCTTGCCAATTCTTTTCTTTATTTTTTATAATTTTCTGCACTCTCCCACTTCACTCCTCTTACCATAATTTGTTTGCGTTTGCATGTCGATGGAAAAAGGAGAATTATTGAAATTTGAGTGGACTTCAAAGCGATTGCAAAAATCGAATTAGAACGCAGCGCGAAAGTGGAAAAAAGACAATGTAAAAGGACTCTTGGCCATGGAGCGTGAATTATGTGATTTATGGCGGCGGCTTGTTTGCCAAACGCTTCGCAATTACATAAGCACTCCCATTCTGCCCTCTTATCGGATCTAACGACAAAAAACAACCCTCCGAAATAGGCGTAAAATATGAAATAATATTCGCAGGCTATCGTATGTTAACTGCGTTTGCAAATATGTTTGCCAAGAAACTTTTTGCGAGGGTTCGTCTGGGGGTCACTCTGCTCAAATGGCAGGGTATTCGGAAACCTCCATCATCCATATGCTGGTTGGAATTTTATTTTTTGGCAAATTTGTTGCCTCAATGGACACACAGCGTACTTCCGCTTTCTCCCGGAGCTCCTTCTTGTTTTTTTTTCTCGTGTTTGGTTGTTGTTTTCTGCTTGGTTCCCGGGTAATAATTCTAGATTTATGAAAATTGTTTTTCCGTTAATGTTTGCCATGTTTTCGACGTTTTTATGTTGCTGCTCCAAGATGAAATTTACCCGAATGCACAGGCACACATACTCAGCATAGAATCTGTTTCATTCGGTGAGGTATATACACAGCGGTGGTCAAAATAATAGCACTAGGGTTTGATTATCTTGGAAGAACAATATATTATTATTAAAAAAAAAATATATATTCTTCGTTTATTACTAAAAAACATTGTTATATATAAAAGGGAAACAGGTTCATATAATTTCAACCTCAGCTGTCTGCATGAGATTGTAAGCATTGTATTTGAAGAAGGACATGTTCCTGGAGCGAGAGGTCCGCATTCCTGGCTGTGGAATGTGATCCCCGCAATTTTCGGCCATTTCCATTACGGTCCTGCACTCTCATTCGTCCTCCGACTTTTTCCGGGTGGATATGGAAGTTTCGCCCAGACGCAGTTTGCAAATTTCAAAATTTGATTTCTGTATCCCACGAAAGGGTTGTTCGGCATTTGATTAAATTTCCACCAGACCCCCTGACATTGTCATAAATCTTTCACGACTTTCGGAGGGCGTTTTACTAAGAGGGTGGTGCTTCGAGAATTGTTGCATACGTAGCTGGGTTTTATGGTGCGTGTGCAGTTAGGAGAAAGTGCGTGGTAATGAGCCTGCGTCCTGCAAATCCTCCGCTGATAAATGGGCAAAGGACCTCCCGAACTAGGAGTGCCTTTGAGCCCCGGCACCTGCTGTTGAAATCTCTGGCCTGGCCGCTAATTAACAATTAACTTACCCGGACAAAGGCAAATAAGCCACAAACAGCAACTGCATCGCATAGCCCACAGTTGTTGCAATTATTTTTGCATGCAAATAATTATTTGTGCAAATAAACAAATGCAATCAAATGTAAATTGATAATTATGCAAGGCTTGTGGCGGTAATTATGCCCAAGTCTGGTTGTGATTGCTATTGCAGGCCGTTGAATCCGCAAGATACAAACATACAGTCTGCTGTCTGGTCAATTTCAATTAGAGGCCTGCTTTAAGTTTTTACTTAAACCCTATCGAGGGCACTTCCTGTGGCCAGCAATTTGGACCGCAATCTGTTTATGGTGTCAATTGTGAAAGTGAATTTATCTAAATCTACTTTTCCTGCAGCAGCAGAGTAAGTTCATTGGCCAAATGCAAATGTAACGAGCGGCATTTGCATACATCGAACTACCCAAGGATCGACTGGTTCCATCCTACTAGTAGTTTTTTTTTGTGCCCCCTTTATCCTGCTCTATTTCTTCCATTGAGAGTATGTGTGTGTTCTAGTGGCTGGAGACAAACAGATATCGATTTTGTTTCGGT